CTGAAAATTATCCAGTGTAAAAATATGTAATAAATTAATTTAGTGAAGACCTCCTAAGATTAACAAAACACACCCCATAACTTATTTTTATAAACATTTGTGATCACAACTGGCCTTCTTAGAAGGTTCAGAATTTGCACCCTGGGTATGGAACTACTTAAAAAAGAAAAATTCACAGAGCTTTTTCTATCCAGACTTTATACCTAATCCACTTAGCTGCCTAGGTTTTTTTCTGGGAGCAGAGGCATGCACTACTTTCATCGTCCCACAGCAAGGCTCTCCCCACTCTCCAGACATGGAGATTCCTAGGAAGAACAGAGATATCCAAGGGGATCAGAGATATTTTAGTCTGTGGACCTGTCTTCTGCTGAGCAGTAAATTGCAATATCATCTTCTCTAAATGAGAAAATATCCACTCATGCAACAGCCAGATGAACTACACTCCCTCCATAAAGGGGTGCAAATCCCACTTGTTTAAAAATCCAGAAATGTTTATCATGCACTACTCAAGAAAGAGAAGCATCAGGTTTAGACCTTGTTGGAGATTTTTTCAGGGATGGCTTGGAAGGCAGCTGTGGGGGACAGGTTCTCACAGCCTGTTTCTGTAAACAGCAGAGGTTCTCAGGTTGTTTTTAATTACAAGCAAAAGTGACAAACATGAAGGCCTTGAGAACCTTGCATATCAGAGTTCTCAGGCAGCTTTCTCATAACAAGTGGATGTTCTATCTTTGGCTGTTTTGGGAAAGCAAAAATAATTTTGAGAACCCAAATCGTGGTATTGGAAACATAAGGAGGGGTTGGTAAGTTATCTCTGACCTATTGGGAGCTCAGATTTTGCAATATGCATGAACTTAATTAACACGGTTATAAAAAGTGATTGATTGATGAATAAACCGGAGTCAGATGCTGAACAAGGAAGTTGGGTCTCTCCCTCCATTCTTCAATAAGACCTTACTGCCTAAATGACCCAACATGAAATAAAAGAAACAGTCCTTTTCAGAAAGACAGTTATCAGCATGGGTGATAATTTGGAATTTTAAGGCCAGTGAGACCTACACAGTTCATGACACAGACCAAAACACCAACTCAGAAAGCAGGAGCTCAGTTATAGCCATACTGTACAGAATCTTGTGCTGTGTTGGCAGGTAAAATGAATTTAAATAAGGGAGAGGCACATGGTTGGTGTCTGCTTAAGGCTATAAAGCAGTGCTTAAACTTGCAAGTGAGGAAATACAAACCTACAGGAGAAAAATGTGAAGCTGACACAGCGAGGTGGCTGCAGTCATGGCTCATGTAGCAGCAGCACAAAGGACATCTACAAAAGAGTGGATGATGGAGTGAGGCTCAGTGGCACATGGATGGTTTTTTTGTTCACTGCTTGTTCAATTCATTATTCCATGTTGGCTGGTGTCACCTATCCCAAAGATTTCCAGGATGCTCCTCTGTCACATGTTTCCAGAGTGGTTTCAGCTGTGGAGTCACTGTCCACCTTCACCAAGCAGCCACAGCCACCAGCCTGCAATCGCCTGCAACATCTGTGTCCCCGCCAAACTCCTCCATAACCACAGCCAGCCAGTCCCTTTGTTAAACAGCTTCCCCCTGGACCCACACAAAGATCATTTCCCACATCTGTCATGCCTTCTAGCCAGGGGCCCACAGCTGGAACAGGGCTGCCCTAGCTGGGACCAGGGACAACAGCCACAGCTGGTGGCACAAGATGAGGGGTGGTGCAGACCAAGCCAGTGAAATTGCTGCAGTTCACACCAGGAAAACAGACCCAGTCCTGTCACACTTGAGCTCTGTGCCATGCTTTGGATGTACACCACCTCTTTTCCCAACTCAGCATTTCTCCCACATCCACTACAGCACAGGCTTCCCCAGCTGGCCTCTGCCCTCTCAAACACCTCAAGCCAGCAGCACCCTGGCCATAGGCAATATTTTACATTAATTTTTTGTTTGTTTTATTAAAATACTGACAGTAAATACATTAATTAGTAAGATAGAGCAAGTAGGAAACAGGAGGCAGGATGGAAAGGTTTGACCAGCTATAAATAGCAGATAGAATAAACAGACAACTGTGAACCATGGGCTGTGAGGCTGGATTTCACATGGAGCCAGCACCTGCTGCTGGGAGACTTCCACCAATTTGTTTGTTTGCTTTTACAACAAACATTATTTACAATGATGGACTCTGGGCTGAGAGATTTGCCACTTTCTGGGAAAACATTTTTACTTAGTCATCATTGGCAGGTGTTTTTTTACCTCCTGTGTGCTACTTGACCCACTCTGCATGCCAGAGGCAAGGTAGGGGTTTTGGCATGGACTTCCCTTACCCCAAAACCTTGGGATGTGCTGGCAGCCTGGGCAGCTGCTTGCAGATTAGCAGGATGGGTCACAGCACATCAGCTGAGCCTACGGGGGGCTTGGGATATTTCACAGAAATGGAGATTTTGGGAAGAGAGGCATGGTTAGACAGGGCACCACATGGAGGGCTCTGCCCTAGGGGCACACAACCGGAGGGGATCCTGAAAGGTCTGAGGGACACATGCACTTGGATGATATGGATGAGCCTTGGAAACATTTCTGAGTGGGGGAAAGAAAGGATGCAGAGGACTGTCCTGAAATGTTTGCAGAGCCTTCACAGAAGGGCTTCCCAGGGAGTGGGGATGGTGTGTCTGAGCAGACCTGGCACAAGCTGGTGGGAGCACAGATGGGGTGCAGAGGCTCAAGCTTTTGACTTTGCACAAAGGCAGCTGTCAGTAGGGCTGTCAGAGGGATCACCCATCTCAGAGTGGCTGTCCCAGGCCCATGTGTGTGGCAGTGGCATGTTCCTGCAGACAATGACTCCTCCTGGCCACTGACTCCTCCTGGCCTCAGGCTTCCACTCACAGACCACTGCCTGCAGCTGCTTCCACACAGACTAATCCTGCTTTCCCCCAGGCAATAAAGGGATGCACACTTTTCTCAGCCATGCAAACATCAGAGCTCCTTAAGAAGATGACTGTCCCCACCACCACTCTGGGGCAGTCCCTGTGGGAGAGGTGCTTGGGTGAGTATGGTATTTTTCAGTCAAATCTCTGCCTGAATGAAGAAAAGGCAGGAATTCTCACCCTGACTAATGCTCTGCCACTGAATTTCAGCCATCACTGCAGCTGAGCTCAGTAACTTGTTTTTATCTCCCAGAAAATCAGCCTGTCTGGACACCAAGCCATTAAGAGATGGTGAGCCCCACACAACTTCCACACATGCTCTGTTTCAATGTGTGCCAGCACCCCCTGTGCAACATGCCTCTTTTCTTATTTACATTTGCCAGGCTTGAAACTGTAACCCCTGTTGCTTGTTATGCCTCTCTCTCCTAGATTAAAGAGCCCTAAAATGTCACCCTTTCAGTGTTATCATCTGCCCTCTGCTATTATTGCCTCTCAGTTAATCAAAGGGACTTCCCAGTCATTATTTTATACCCCACAACGACAGTGCTTTTTCAGATCAATTAGTTTTCACTCCTCTTATCTGCATTCAAGCCTCACCTCCCTTTCAGTGTTTCCATTGCCTGCTCAGGGACCTTTGCTGTGTCTCCTCTGACCTCTGGGAGAGGAGCTGAGCTGACTCAAAAGGGGAGCTTGGTGTGAGGACATCCGATCTGCTTACAGACCAGCCAGCCTAACGTGGAACACGGCCGATGCCTTTGTGCGCCTCTGAGCCCCTCACTGCACATCCTGGGCAGATAATGATTGCTGGCTTGCCTGTAAAGTTACCTCTCCTTTAGCACCATCAGCTTGCACAAGACACATCAGTTTTTGTGACTGGGTACTTATCTATAAGGACTTTCAGTGCCCAATTAGCTTTCAATAAGAACCTCTCAGTTGAAATCATCTTATTTTACACACTCTCCCTTTCTATTCTGAAATACATAAAAACATCAGGGCAAAATCTTTTTCTGCAAGAACTAACTTGTCTGGGGGTGCTTTTTGTATTTTCTCCCTTTCTCTTCCAAATTAGTATTTTTTTCATTCTGGCAAGTACCCACCCTATTCCCACCCAACACACAGAAACCAGAAACTAATCTTAAGTGGGTCAGACCAACTTCATTGTCCATCTTGAGAAAAGTTTAAAATGTAAGCTGTCAACAGCACATAGTTAAAAAGCACATTGAAAGCCATTGAAGGCCAGCTTGGATTACATGACAGTGAAATCTCTTTTAAAGGATGCTAGGGAGCTGTGTTTAGGTTTTAAATATAGCTTTTCAACCCCCTGCTATGGTTTTACAAAGTAGGAGAAGCATCACTGTTCCCCAAAATATCCTAACCACATCATGTTAGAAATCAAGCTTTACTACTTCACTTTGTTTCCTAGCTACCAACATTTTTTTAGCTTAGTAGTAGAGATGAGCAGTGAAATTTGGCATTCAGACTGCAACTTCATAAAAGCCTTAAAAAGCCTCATGCATATATACATATCTATCTATATATACATCTGTAACAATTACAGTTGCTACCATAGCTCTCTTTTCAGAAATGTTTCGGTTACTACTGCCTTCCATCCTGGTTATCCATTCATTCCCATCCTGGGGCCCCTGCCAGCCCAGTCCTGGACACCCCCCAGTCCTGCCCCTGCCTCAGAGCCCCCTCCATCCCAGCCCCCCAGCTCTACCCAAACCCTTTTCCCACCCCAGCCCCATCTGCTGCCGGAGCATTCTCTCTTCCCTCCTCTCACCCTTTCCAGCTCTACCAGTCCCTTTACATTCATCACATTAAAGAAAACATTTCATGGTCATCTCTTTTATCTCCTTCAGTGAACAGTTAATCAGAAAAAATGCTTTCATGTTGCTAAATCAGGGCCAGTGGGCAAAGCCAGGCTGACAAGAGACATTTTCCTCTGCTACTAACCTGAGCTAAATAGTATTAATTACAGAGGCTGGGCTTTGATTGCTGGAGTGTGGTGGGGCTGGCGGAGCTGCCTCCTCCCCCTCTGCTCCCTCCCAGCACAGCCCCACACTGTGCCTCCCTACCTGCCTGCCCTTTGCCAGCATCCCCATCCCATGTCACAGCACAGCTGCAAGCGGGACCCCCCCAAATCTTCACCTGGGCTGCTCAGACAGTAGCTCTGGGAAAGTCAGGTCCCTGGGCTGGAGGACCAGCTGGGTGGTTGGGGTGTCCCTGTCCTTGCCTCCCCCATGCTTGTCTGCCCAAGGCAATGTCTTTTCCAGGACAGAAACTGCTTCTTTTTATGTGTTTGAAAGAACCTGAGTCCTGGGAGGCAACTGAGTACACATCACCCCACACAGTGCTTCTCAGCCTGTGGTCTGTGGGCCACAAGTGCTCTGTCAGATGTCAAAGGGACTGCAAAATGACTGCAGACAATTTCTTGGGACAGACATATCCATCCTCACACATGCCACAACGGAGCGAAGACAACAGGCAGTGGGAGCAGAAGGCAAATTGAGGACACTGTGCTACAATTCAGTCCTCCATGGGGCGGTCCAAAGGTGTTTATTGCTCTTTCAAAGAAACAAATAAAAAACCAGCCAGACTAGCCCCACAGACACAAGAGGCCCATCTCTGCACATCTCCAAGGACATGATGGAGGAAATGACTGTGCCCCAATTTGTGTTGGTAATAGTATCCCCCACGTCTCCCAGGTGGAAGGCAACAGCCTTCCATCCCAAAGTTGGCATCTGCAAACAACCGGTTACCAATTCTGCTGAATTGGCTTCCCACAAATTAGCAAAACAGGCCAAAACCCGAGACAAAATGAATCACAGCAGAAACATTCTGCTTTTTAGAGACAGAATGCCACTAACTTCTTTCCCCAGCCTTCTCTGAGCTGAGCAGGACTTTACAAAAGTGACCACAGGAGGAATTTTCAGGGCGGTCACTCTCTGTTTCAGAGACCTTCCCTTGGGATGGGTGGCACAGTTTGAGGCCTGAGTCAAGCTCTGGTTTAAGCTGATTAAGGTGACTATCTCTGGTGACCCATGGTGCCAAGCCCTGATCCCATGCAGCTCGTGGGCAGCATAATGGGAGCACAGGACTCCAGGAAAAAAGCACCTTCAGATTCACTACAAAACTCATCTGGAGCAGTCAGGCAGGACAATATTTTTTAATGCTTTTTGATTTGTTTTGAGTGTTTGTTGCTGTGTATGATGGGCTATTTCTCCAGCCAGCATGAGTTCGACTATAAACCCAACTGGATGACTTTTGAAAGTTGAGGTTCCACATTTCCATCCTGATACTGAAGACCCCATGTCCTTCCTCCTCTTCCTCTGTGCTGCATCTGATTTCCACAGGCTCGCCCTGCCTTCTGAGTCGATGCTTTGCTCTACCCTGCACAAGCACAGAGGGAAGCAGAAGGGGCAGATCTGGCCCATTTTTCCCCAGTCCACACTCTGATCTTCAATGTGCTCTTCTCAAGGACACATGGATCTGGTTTTCCCAGACAGCAACAGTGGGTTGGAGTCTCCACCAGGGCAAATCAGCACAAGGGCTTGGAGGTCTGCCAGCATGGTCTAGCCTCTTAGACACATTTCCTCTGAAAAGCAAAGAATAGGAGATTTTGGAAAACACCTGGTGTGATCAGGGCCCAGCAACCAAGATAAACCTTGATATAGCAGTAGCTTGCACGGATCCAGATGCTCAGGAGAAGTTTACTCCAAGTTTTTTGGGAACAGGGTGCTTTGGACTACCTGGATGTCTATGGCAAAAGACCTCAGAATTGTCAATAGCTTCATTCCCACCTCCAAATTACAGTGTAGCAGTTAAGAGTATGAGAAACCCAAGTAACCCAACTCGGTAGTTGTCCCCATGCTACTCCTCTCTATACTAAAATGTGTTTTAAGCTGACAGTGCTGTATTTATAGAATACAGCAGTTTATAGATTAGCAGTTACTGTGCAACACCCTGGAAGAGCCGTTGAGGAGGCAGAAATAGGCATTTTGCTGTCTAGGAGGGCAGCACAGAGCCTCGGGGATAAACAGATCCTCAGGCAGCATGCAATAGTGAGGGAAGCTAAGGCCTGAGTGGCCATTGCTGACTTTAGAGTTAAGAGCCTGTTGATATGAGTGACAGCTCAGAGGCCTCATTGCAGCATAAATTCAGGCTACAAACAATGCAGGGGCTTTTTATATTAACTTCAGATATTTAGGGCTCTCTTCATTTAGGCCAGAAATGTGAGAAACTTTTTTTTTTTTTTACAGTGAAAATATAGGAGATAAGAACAGTCTGGATCAAATTAAGCCTCCATCTCGCCCAAAGTTTTCTGGCAGGCTGGTTTCTGGTTGCCTCTGAGACAAAAGAAAGAAGCTTTGCATCAGTAGGATAATGTGCTTCCAAAAGAGTTTCTTCCTCAGAAGCTGTCTCTCTTGCTCAGAAGTTGTCTTCTGCCTTGAGGCAGGGTGGTTTCTGTCCAAAGCTACTTGATTTGACTTTGTTCTTTGTTTATTTTCAGCTCTGCAGGCTGTCACTGTGAATAATGGGTCTTTGGTGCTGGAACACAATTCTCAGATGAATATTGTCTTCCATGGTAAATTCCAGGGCTGCTCAATTGCAGAATAAATCTTACCTTCACGGAGGGGGTGGCTGGTGTCTTTGGGGATGGGACAGGGTGCCTGTACAGCACCTCCCTGCCCATGCACAGAAGTCATAGCTCCTTGCTGAAGTTCTGCCTGCAAGGGCCAGGCCCTCCTCAGCCTGAGCTATGAGCTGGGCCTGCCTGAAGCTCTCTTGAGCTCCACACTTGGGAATCTGCTGCCACATGGTGGCATACACTCTCTCTTCCCGGCCCTAGGAATCCCTCCTTGGCTTCCAAGAGGTAGCACATGTGGAAAGAGCACTTCTGAGCTCTGCATTGGCACTAGCTCACTGAGTTTCCAGGCACCCGTTCTGGAGCTGCTAGAAGCTTTTCCAAGAGCATTGTTTCCTGTTTGAAGCAACACAAACGTACGAGGAATGCTGGCAAAAAATCTGAGAGGATCTCACATGCTTTGGGGTCAGCAGGTAGGATTTGTTAGTGAAAGACCTTTATCTAACCTGAAAACACTAGAAGTATTTCCACCAAGCAGACCAAGGTCTGCATCCATCTCCTTGAATTTCTGCTCTGCAGCAGATGCAAAGACAACAGCAGGCAGGAAAAGAAACTATAGAGGTCATGTTCCTGACCAAGACTGATAAGCAGAAAGGTGATTGTCACAGGAGTTAGTGGAGAGCATCACTTGCTCTGTGTGCAGCACTGTCAGTTTTCAATGCTGTGTTTTTCTCCTTGAGGCCACAGGTTGCTTTGTCCTGGCTCAGGCAGCTGCATGCTAGAGGATGCATTTGCAAGGCAGCTGCTCAAAACAAGGCTGACTGCTTCCTTCCGGAAGGGTGGTGGCACCCGTGGGTGGGAAATCCCTGGGAAGTGCCCTGGGGCCACCTCTGCACTGCAGGCTGTGAGGCAGCACGCTCAGAGCCTGGTGCTCACAGGGTGCCCTGTGCACGGGGCTGGAGACGGCAGCTTGGCACAGCTGGTGGGACATGCAGGGAGCCATGCAGCCAAAGAGGGAGGGTGGCAGAGCAAGGCACCTGTGCACAGGGTCGCCTCAGCACAGCCACTTGGTTTGAAAAGAACTTGGGGGAACTGGGCCCAAACCAATAATGCCTGGAGTCTGCAACAGAAAGACTGATGCCTGGCATTGACAGCATTCCTGCTCTCCTCCACATCAAGACAAAGCTGAAGTCCATCCAGCAGCAGCTCCTGGAGGCAGGAAAAATAGAGATTCTGTGAAAATGGTGAGTTGCCATGGACTTTCCTCCCATCCCACCACAGCCCATGCCCAGTGGTAAAAGCTGCACCTATTTCTTCTTCCACCTATTTCTTTCTTCACCCCTGCTGCAGTCCTCTGACAGTGGGAATAATGCAGGGAGCAACACAGGATGGGCACAGTGACACTGGGAGCAGTAAAGTGTGACAAAATAAGGATGGGAAGGTGTGGCCCCTAGGGAGAGACTGTCCAAGAAGCAGAATGGAGAAAGAAAAAGGAATAAAGATGCTGTGGGCAACACATTAGGAAACTCTGTGCACTGTGGTGGGATCTTAGTGTGGGCAGGACACTGGTGCCCAGAGGCACTGGGTACTCTGGCCTGCAGAACAGGCACTGGAAGAACCATCTCTCCTGCAAGCCTAGGAGATGCCTTCATGACACATCACAGAGCTGCCCCACCTTCTGCTTCTGCTGTTCCTCAGCTGGCTGAGCTGTAGGAGAGGAAGTGATGGCCAAGGAAGGGGATTTTGCAAATGTTGGGACAAAATGGGCAACAAGGCTGTTAGAAGGTCAGCCACTGACATTCCATATGGTTTGATATGGTATGGCAGTACTTGCAGACAAGAAGGAGGCTTTAAGATTACCAGTATCCAGCTGTGGAGCATGCCAGCAGCCAGGAAGAGCCCTGGGACCAAGCCATGGCTGGCATGGCAGCAGTCAGGCCACTTATTGTTGGCTGTGCCTCTCTTCCTCTCCTCAGGGAGATGGGCTAGCCCTCTGCCCCAGACCCTCTGTCCTCATTGCTGCTCTCTGCTCTTGCCTGCTGCATGTTGTTTCGTGGAAGAGGATTCACTGTGTGCGCCAGAGCCCACGTGTGCCCCGGGAGAGCTCAGACAGCCTGGGGGATGAACGGTGCTGGAAGGTGCTGCAGGAGGGCTCGGGGTGATTGCCCACCGGGGCACTGTGTGAGCGGGAAAACACATCAGAGGGTGTCTCCCTTTCATGTCCCTGCTCCGAGCAGACGGCTGCGGAGCATCTCTTCCAAGGACAATATGGGGCGAACTCTAATAACCTCGCGGAGCGGAGCTGTGCCAGCGCTCCCAGTGGCCGCTCCGGCGGCAGCTAAAGGGGCGCCTTCTCCGCTTCCACCCTAATTGCCCTTAATTGGCTCCTGCCTGCTGGCAACAGAACGGCGAGGGCTCTCCAAGGATCACTGCACCACAGTGACAACGTTCGGAGAAGGATTGCCGGCCCCTGCCTTCCCCACCTCCATCACACTCTTCCTCGCCCACCAGAATACAATAACCTTTCCAAGCAGGAGATTTTTCTGTCAGTACATATCTTTTTCCTTCCAGGCCCTGCTGTGGAGGGGCCTTGCAGGGAGCTGGGGCAGGGAGCAGGGCAGGGTCTGTATCCTGTATCCAGAGGAAGGGATGTGTGCTGCCCTTGGGCTGAGGGGGATGTAAGCATTGTCCCTTCATACAGCACTGTGGCCATGGTGTCCAACAGCACCTGAGTGCAGTGAGCCCTGCTGCTCTGCTGTGTGCCAGGGCTTCCCAGGCAGGGGACCAGAGCTTTGAGGTCCCCCACTGCAGAACCAGTCCACAAAATCCCCATTTTCCTAGAGAGAGGTGCTGCTGTCCCAGGGCAGCCAGGTGGGAATGGGGCTGCATCCCAGTGCGATCTCCTGGCTATGGCCTGCACGGTTATCTTGGAGATGTGGAAAGGCGGTTGGGAGGGCTCCTCACTGTCCCTACTCACTGTCCCAGTGCTGGGTGAGGGCACACAAAGCAGAGGGTCCCCTAAACTCCCATTCCTAGGGAGGATTCTCCAGGACAAGCTGGCCCTTGGCTCATCTAGCTCTGGTTTCCTGTGGCAGACCACCCTGCACTTTCCCCTCTCTGCCTGACACCCACACAAGCCATCCCCTCATGACAACAGGAGGATGGGAAGCCACAGCACAAAAGGCACCTTGTAGCTCTGACCAGGCCCATCCCCATCAGACTGCCTCCCTGCTCCTGCTTCGAGCCAGGACAAACCCTTGCTGCAGCAGCAAAATGTAGCCAAGCATTTCCCAGTCCCTCATGGCTGCCCGCAGCCCAGCCAGGGCCAGCACCTGCAGGCAGCGGGCATCACATGGGCAACACGTTCCACGGCAAGCTGGCAGGGGCATGGAAGTGCAAACAGGACACAAATTCAGTTCTGATGGAGGGAGCTGCAATGTCTTTCCCACTGAGGTTATTTTTAAACTGTTTATCAAAGGCTCACTGCTCTTGGCAGCAGGGTGGGCTATTTTTGGATGCCTGCTTCACCTCTCCACGGAGATATGCTGGCTAGCAAAGGCTTGCCCTTCTTTTGCCTGGCACCCTCAGACCGCCCGTGGTCTCTGAGGTTTGCCCTGCTATGGTCACTGCTGTTTGCTTCCTCACACGTCCAGGGACGTTTTAAGCAGGAGGTCTGAGCTCAGGCACAGCCTCCTTATGAGCCCTTGTTAGCAGAGCCCCTCATCCTTTCCTGCTGTCAGTGGTGACACTGCTCTTGGGTATGGGCAAAATACACACTTATGCCTACTGCTCTCCTTCAGCATTGGTGGAATTTGTCCTGACCTAAGTTTGGCACCCTGGAGCTTTGCATTCAAGTTTTTTTTTTCTCTGCTACTGGCTTTCCACTTGTTGCTGCCGCGTCTCTTTGCCCATCTAGAAGAGCAAGGCCAGGTTTCCCTACTCCCTGGGATTGCTGGGACAAGTAATTGGGACAGGGTGACTGAAAATTTAACACTGTCCTCACAGGGCTTCTCCTCTATGGATGGATGAAGGACATGACAAGTTTCACTGAGGTGCAGCATTGGCAAAGGTGGTCTGGCGAGGCAGGGCTCAAAGCAAGTGCAGGGAGGCAACAGGGGTGCGTGGAAGTGCAGTAGCTGGGTGTTGGAATCAGTGAAAGCACAGACTGGAATGGGAATGCAAAGCAAGCCATCAGGCTCTGAAGTTAATAATAGGCTGTCTGAGTCTTGACTGTGTAAAAGAAAATCAGTCCTTAAAAGAAGCTCACTGGCAGAGTGCTTGGCCCTAACAGAATTATCCACAGGAGCCCAAACAAATGACTGGCCTCATTACTGACCCGCAGCCTCGAGCATGGCTTGAGACACGCTGGGCTCTCATAAAGGAATCAGCACTGTCCACACTGCCCCTGCAGTACCAGAGAAAAGGACTTGGAGAAGTTTCCCAAGAACATCAACAAATTCGGGGATTTCCTTTTGTTAGCAAAGCACAAACTTTCTGCTGAAGGAAGATTTTCTTCATTCAAATATGATTTTGGAGAGCCAAAGGTACATGCAGGCCAGGAGATTCTCCTCCGGGAATGAGGACACAAGAAAGGCAGTGCTGGCATGTGCAAGGTTTGTACTCATTTGTGAGATCTGTACTCAAAGAGAACGGATGTGTCCTTTCTTACAGGAAGGGACTGGATGAAAAGGTGAAAACCACTTTCTTGGGCTGGTTAGAAAGCTTCAAGCTATGCAAGCACACATAATTGTACTCTCCACCCCTGAGAGTTAATGGTCAGACTTCCCTGAAATGAGAGACTGGCCCAGGCTTAGGAGAAAATGAGGTGGAGCCCATTGTGATCTGTGACATCCACCACCCAGTCAGCTCTGTGGCCTCACTGGTCACCATCTCCATGGGTAAGATAGTCAGAGAGGACTGGAATTGCTGCCAGACCAACAGCAAAGAGCTCAGGGGAAGCATTCTCGGGGTAAGGAATCAAGGGACAAATGCCAAGGGGGAAACCCAGGTGAGGGAAGGGAGATGCACCTCCACACTGCAGACACAGAACTATATCCAACAGCACCCACAAGTGCTGGAGTGAGTGTAACACTGCTGTGCCAGCACAGGGCAGTGTGTCTGGGAAAACAGGCATTCTGATTTCCAAGCAAGTCAGGAATAAAATGGGCAAGGTCACCGAGCAGCTCCTTCAGACGCACCAGGGGAGGGGACAGCAGCATGTGGCTGGCTGTGGGGGCCAGCACTGTGAGCATGGCCAGGACAAGCTGCACAGGGAGCTCATGCTCATGGAGTGAGTCCTGCTGGTGCACTGGGGCTGCTGGCACAACATGGATTGCTGGCATGAGGGCTCACTGAGGCAAGTTGCCCCCTGACCTCTGTGGGCATGTTGGATGTGAGCAGACATTCCCGTGGCGAGTGAAGGTGATGCCATGGGGTACAGTCAGAAAGACACTTTCACCATGAGATGGTGCAAAGAAAAAAAAAACATACCCTTGTTCTTTTCTCCCAGTAACAGGGAGACTCACTGTGAGCGGTGGGGTGATTGGGAAGTCTAGGCCAGGCCATGAGAACCTGAGCCTGCCTGGATGAGGGATGAGTTCACTGATGGATGAGTTCACTGTTCCCAGCCAGAGAACTCAAGAGGACACAGTTTCTGGAAAGGAAATAAATGGAAGGCAAAAATGAAAAGAAAAAAGTAAGAGTATCTCATGCTGTTGCTTGTGGCAGCAGTTCTCTGGCCACAGAGAGCAACACGCAACTTTCCCAGGCCTTTCTGGGAAGGGCTGTGAGAAGAACAGAGAAAAGAATGATAAATAATTCTTATCTTAACCTGCTGCACCTGTCATTGTGAACATGTGGAATGTGTTATGGAGATTTGTTTAGCAAAGGGTGATTTCTTAATTAGCCAATGGTGATGGTGTTTTAATTAAAGGACCAGTTAGGTCCAGGTGTATCGTAACTGTCTATAAAAGCAATGGGTTTCTTAATAATGATATAATATAATATAATATAATATAATATAATATAATATAATATAATATAATATAATATAATATAATATAATATAATATAATATAATATAATATAATATAATATAATATAATATAATATAATATAATATAATATAATAATTGATCAGCCTTCTGTGAATCATGGAGTCAATGCTAATTATCACCTGTTCAGGGATGCCTGGCAGCCACAGTCCCTGTAAGCAAGATTCACAGATTAGTGCAAGCAAAACTCATAGATCCCCCTCAAGCCTGGAGTCAAAGTCCACTTGGTTGCCTTCTGCCCTGGGTCACCTACAAAGGAGAGACAGAGAAAAATGCATCAGAGGGCTTTGCACAGTACTATGGCCAAGAGTCTGCCATAGTACCTTTGCCTTTCTGAGGCCATAACAATACAGGGGTAGATTTCCCTGATATCAATACAAAGAACTCAGGCTGGAAGAGCTGGGGGAAAAGAACTTGGTGCAAGGTGGAGAAGAGACAGGAATTCAAAGGAACAGTGGGGAGAGGAACATTGTCCTGGATATCACAGGGGACACTAACAAACACAAATTTAAGCACCCCGTGCACACTACTGTTGTGCAGAAGGGTCCTGGTGTGTCCCTTTTGATCCTCCATCCATCATTTGAGTTGACAACATACAGACCTGGCATTTAGGCTAACATCTGACCGTGTTTCTGTCACAGAGCTCCTCATCACCAGCCACCACTGTGTTTTGTACAATATCTTGATGGGTCAGCCACCTACCTCAAAATCCGGGCCCAGCCACCCAGCCCTGTGTGTCACAGCAAGACCCTGGTGTGACACAGGGGAGGAGGGGAAGCAATGACTTAGTCCATGCTGGCAGAGACCCAGGGGTCCCAGCCCCACCTGGCAGCAGAACCCTGCTGCCCTGGGCAGTGGGAGCCGGGACAAAGGCACAGTGGCAGGCACAGCAGCTGCTGGGAGCACGCTGCCCCCCCATGGGGGACATGCTCCCTGCCTGGCACGGACACCGTCCGCTCCTCCTTTGTGGCCTGGAACAAAGAGCAGAAGGAGGGAAGGAAGTGACTTCTCTGGAAGCGATTGTGGCGGTGGGATGAGCACCCATCTCCTTCCAAACAGACCGAGCGGTGATGCCCGGCCCTTCTCTCATCCCCTATTGCCTCCTATTCACTGCTGGCATCGCCTCTTTCTGCGCCCTCCGCCTCTCCTTATGCAACAGGGCGAGTGGGAAAAAAAGAAGCGCAAAGAAAGCCGGAGCGAGGGAGGGAGGAAGCCGATGGGGCACTGGCTGGCAGGCAGACAAGGAGCGCGGCAGGGGCGGCCGGGAGCCCGGGACACGCGGCCCTGCCAGCCCTGCTGGGCTGCGGGCACCTACGTGCGGCCGGCAACGTGCGGCCAGCGGGGCCGGGCACACACAGCCCTGCCAGAGCCCTGCCCTCGGCCGGGGCTCCCTGCACCAGCCCCAGCCCCGGCGGGCAGCACGGCTGCTGGGGAGACAGCGGCTGCCTGTCCCCGGCCAGCCCCAGGGAGCCCGCATCCCCGCACACATCCCCGGCCGCTGCCATCCAGGGGCTCGCAAGCTCCCAAGCGGGCAGGGCGGTGTGGCTCTGTGTCACCGGCCGAGCTCTGTGTCACCGGCCGGGCACAGGGGGTATGCCGCTCTGTGTCACCGGCTGGCCTGCCAGCCCTGACCTGAGAGGGAGAAGTGTGACCTCCGCTGTCCCAAGGCCACACGCCTCCTCCCGCTGGCCTGTGTGCGATGCCGTGCTGGGGATCACGCTGCTGCTGGTGCTGCTGCTTGTGTCAGCAGTTTCAGAGCGGTTCCCAGCCTGGAACAGCTCCCACACAGCGCCAAAGCTCCTTCTCTCCGTTGAAACCCCTGCATCCTGGCCACCTCCTGCACCCCTCTTTGGGAACATCCTGCCCTACTCCCACTTCTCACCCACCAATTCAGGAGTAAAAGGAAGTCACACTTTACCCCTCACTCAAAAATGCCTCCCCAAATCACCCAACTTTCATATTACACACTCACACACTATTTCCCCTATATTCATAGGGAAGGGAAGGGAAGGGAAGGGAAGGGAAGGGAAGGGAAGGGAAGGGAAGGGAAGGGAAGGTACTGACACAGTAGAGCATTTCAGAAGACATGGTTTCTTCGTGTGCATCTCTGTGCATTATGTCACAGGCCAACTGGGAGTTAAGTCTTAGTTTCCTTCTTTTTCTCATCTTCTGAAAGTGGATGAGGTTTCCAGATATTTTGGAGACTGCTGGTGTGCCATACCCATGAGTCAGCAACTGTCAGTAACAGTTCCACACACGCGGGTGACACCGCTGGGGTCGGAAAGTCCCTGGAATATCACACACTGGACAACAGGCACGTAGCAACTTGATTAGCCAAACTCACCCTTGGCACGACTGAGAATATCCCAACGCCACAGCCAAGGTGTCCCTACGTCCCGGAGAGCACGTAGCCCTCCTGCTCTCCAGGGAGGTGGCAACAGTGTAGCTATGCAGGGATAGAGCAGCTCCTGCGGGTCACGGCTCTGCTGCCAGAGCCTGTCAGCTGCGTCTCTCTGCCATTTCCATCTCCAGCTGCACACTTTCAGGATATCCAGCCCAAACAACTGCTCCTCAGAGGGGACAGGTTCCATCAGCAGAGATCCTCCGGGAGAGATATTCACCCTGCAGCTGACAAACCCAAGGGGAAGGGGGCGTGGGGGTAGCTGGTGCCTTTTCAGGGTACTGGGATGCTCCTGGGCAGCAAGGGACCTCCCGTGCTGGGTGTCACTTGCAGACCAGCCCAGTGGGCATTGTCACAGAGTCCTGGGTGTTTGCCAGAGGAAACACAAAAGACTGTGGGCAGGGAGAGGCAAATGCCATGGGCAGGCAGGAACACCAGTTTCTGAGCTCACATCAATCGTGCTTGTAAATATTTTATTCCTTTCCCAGTCACTCACTGTAGAAAGCTACTATCCAGCCTCTGGCTATCAGAGAGCAAAAGCATTTAAGAGCATTAACTGTATAAGCAGGCCTGACACGTAAAAACTGCTGTGTGAAGGCAGCAATTTTCAACTTTGTGTCCTCACTGTGGCTTTGTAGCCCAGCCCTGAGGCCCTGGCTCTGCCCAGAAGCATGCCTGACTGCCACCTAGCACATCACGTACAGAGCAGATTTACAATTCATACTTCTCGTCACGGCAAAGTAGGGGGTGCCAAATAATAACCCAGGTTTCTTGAAGCAGATGAGTAATTATGTGTCTATAAAACTGGAAAAAGGTAGATTGGCAATGGGCTGCCACCACATTCCCTTCAATGGTGGCAAATGAGGCAGATCTAATCACATCCTTCATTCACTGCATCCTTTGCAGTGAGGAAGAGTGAGCCTTTGCTCCAGGTGGCCCAAGCAGAGCAGCTCAGATGGACAGATGTGCAATCAAGGTCCAAGCTCCTGGGTCCAAGCCAGCTCTGGAGAGCTCTCCAAATGTGGGCTGTTCAGTTCTGTTCTTCTAGTGGAAAGGCATTTGGCCTGTTGGCCAAGGCATGGCAAGGTCCAACATAAGCCTGTTGGACTTCATTCCAGACCCCTGGGCACGGGGCTGGGGTGACGTGGCAACCTCTCTGCCACCAGGGGAGCAAGCAGGTCACTGTGGAAAGGGAAGAAGAGGGGCCAAGAAGTAGCAGGTGGGAAGCTGGGATGAGTTAAAAGCAGGTATGAAAAGTGTAGGAAGTGCTGTGGTCAGATAAGGGAAGGGGCAGAAAGAAGAAGACAAGTTAAGGGATAAACTGGAAGGACCAGAAGTGAAGAGGTTGTTCAAAGGGGATTACAGGGGTTGTTTAAACTGAGAATTATCTGTTGAGATAATTCTCCTCCCTCCATGGTTGCCCAACCTCTAGGCCTGGATCCCAAATGAGCAACAAATTAACAGATGAGAGAATTTAAAACAGATCTTAGAAGGGAGATGAATGAGTGGGAATTACCAGCATTCAGAAAACTGGTGGAGACATCCAGATACAGAGAGGCAAATGTAGAAAAAAGCTGGAAATGCAAATACAGCCAGGTGAATGCACTGAAATCCCTAACACATGGGGGGGATAAGCAAAGGAAATTATGAAGTTGAGCTGGCACACGGAGAAACAGCCTGGCCCTGCCATGTGCCACCAGTGCTGCTTCAGAGCAGCTTAGCACTGGAGCACTCTGTTAGGGAAATGTCACTCTGGAAATAGTCTAGTTGGTGGTGAGATCATTCATTCTTCTCAGCTGGAAACCTGACCCTGTTGCCAAACTTCTTTTCCAGGCTAGAAGCTGATGCTCATGGAAAACTTTGGCCCTGAGGCCCAAATAGAGATCCTGAGCTTGTCAGTGCCAGTGCTCAGCACCCAGCAGTCTGCACAGCCATCTCAGAAGTGTCCCTGGCCACGTTGCAGCTGGGTCAGTGGCTCAGCTGGGCAAGATGAGCACAGCCAGCATGATGTGGTGGCAAGTCACACTCCGCACACTGTCACCAGCTCCCAGGCAGCCATGTGCTGGCTAAATTTGGGTTGGCATGGAGTACTCATTGCATGACCTTCAAAGAGATTTTACAGAGGCAAAAGCCTGGCAGTCAGTGGCAAGTGTGTAAGAGGGCTCAAATACCTGGTTTGATACTGGGTCCTCTAGCTGCTGTGAAAGGGAGTTCATTTCTCCTGGATCTCTGGCAACAGGAGGAGAAATGTTTTAGAAGTCTTTTCTGGCTCCAAGCATCACATGAATGAGTGTGGATATGACAAACTCTTTCAGCCGTGGCTTTTGTCACGAAGTCATGACTGACAAACCACCATCCTGCATCTGAGGTTTTGGGCAACTTACACCGTGCAAGGCCAGGGAAGTGAGCAGGGCACTCCCCCAGCCCAGCTCGGTGCTACCTGCTGGCCGTGCTGCTTCAGCTGCCTCTCCATAAGCAGTTGGCCTCCATCCAAAGAAAACAGCAGCAGTGGTGCCATGTGGGTGCAAATGCCTGTGGGAAAGCCAAGCCTGCTGTGGGCAAGCGGTCTTCATGGACCCAGGGGGAGGCTGGGCACGCTCCAGGCCCTGTGCCTGATATTTGCCGTGGCACCCAGATAATATTTGCAGGTGGCTGGCAGGTGCTCACCTGGCTTTGGCTGCTGCAGAGTGTGTGGTGAGGGTGTGAATTACACCCTGTTTCAGGCACTGTGGAGCACTGAGGGATAGCCAGGGGTGCAGGCATCTCCCCTGGGGTGCAGCCTCCAGCTGGGGTCGCAGGCAAACTCCTGCAAAGCCCTCATCTCCCTCCCTTGCCTTCCCTGCAAAAA